CCCCCCCCCCCCCCCCCCCCCTCCTTCCGATCATTCATTCAGGCCAGTCGGTCCCTCCCCCTTCCCTCCTGCCGTCAACATCTGTTTTCATATTCTGCCTCCCAACACCGATCTGAACTAATACTCATATTCATTCTAATACTAATACTAGCGCCAAGTTGAGGATTTGAGCCAGGGCCCTGAGCTGCATGCCAGACGGTTGCTGCCTTCATTCCCACATGACCCAAAAGCCTGGCCTCAGGAGACGAGGGATTAGCATGAACCAAACATCCTGCAGCCAGCGGCCTCTGTCGGGCCAGCTCTGGTGCACAGGTTACGGTCAGACAGGATGCGGGCGCTTTGTCTTGAGGTTCAGCCTCGTGACCATTGTGTCTAATTCAGTGGTGGTTTATATTATATTATTTAACTTTAAGGAACTTAACTGATGTGTGTTTTTATTCTACTCATCTGTTCAAAGAAGATGCAAATTTCCGCGCACTTGCATGTGTTTCATTCCTGCAGCAGGAATGTATGCACGCTGTCATCGTGTCTGTTACCAGGGAAGGGATTCCGAACCAGTTTCTTAGCAACCTTAGGATACGTCCTAGCTTTCGTGTGATTTTGCTAATGAGTCCCTGCTCATTCACCAGAGTGTTTCATTCCATGAACCTGCATAAACCGAAGCAATAACCCTTCAGTTTACTTGCAATGTGCAGCTAACTCTTCTGCGTCCTTATGAAGTTCTATGCAAAAGCAGAAAACAATTTCCACGATTATCCTGCTTAATGGCGGCTTGCAGCAGTTATGGTGAAAAGCGAGGCAGAATTAGAAGAGTTCCAATAACACAAGAGTAGGCTAGTCATTTCCAACGAGTAAATGTGGCGTTCTGTGGTAAATTGATGAAAGGTCGTTTTGCTCTGGAGTGTTAATGTGTTGTTTTTGATGATGTACACGCAAGTAGATTATTGTTTCTGTCTCGGTACAAAGAGGATCACATTGTGATGTTATCGCCATCATGTTCGTCCATTGTCGGCACATCTTCTGGGTAGATGATAGAAGATATTAAGTGGTGATAATATATGTATTATGTATGTATGTATATTGTGTTTAAAAAAACAAATCCTGAAAACAACATTTACACCACCATGGGTCACCACACCTCAACTGTTCAATGGTAGGTTATACCTTTGCCTTTTGAAATCTTGAGATATCGGCTGTCTCAATATGATTTGTGTGTTTTCATGTAGTTTTCAGGGAGCCCTACACTGTGCGGGTGGCGGACCAGCGCTCAATGCGGAGCAACGTAGCTGTGTTCAAGTGCCTCATCCCCGCTGCCGTGCAGGAGTACGTCAGCGTCGTGTCCTGGGAGAGAGACACGGTTTCCATCGTACCAGGTAGGACATCACATGAGTGAATCTGAATTATCCCGGGGTGGGCAGGTTTGTTCATTTCATAGGATTGAAGTATGTCTTTGTCTTTCATGTGTGTGTGTGTGTGTGTGCGTGTGCGTGTGCGTGTGCGTGTGCGTGTGCGTGTGTGTGTGTGTGTGTGTGTGTGTGTGTGTGTGTGTGTGTGTGTGAGGACGGCTGATGCACAACTGTGCTATATGTTTGACCGAACTCTTAACTCGTGTCTTCTGTCTGCTCACTGTTCTGGATCACTGATCTGGTCCTCCTCCTCCTCCTCCTCCTCCCTGCCTGCACAGTATCTCCTCCCTCCCTCTCCTTCGTCTTCCTCCTCTTTTCACAGACATACCCCTCTCTGCTATCGCTGCTTTTACATCTCATCACATACAAATTTCACCCTAATGTCAGATCCGGCCTTTAATTGTGATTGACACGGCATTAGACAGACTCGCATGACTTTTCCACAGTTTCTCCTCATCAGATCTATTCCTGTCCTCTCCCTGCTTGTCTTCCCACCACGTCCTTGAAGAACAGGGCCACAATTAGAGACATAGGATGTCAATAGGACTGTGCCCCCACATTCATCTTCATTAACCTCATTTGTGCGTGTGTGTGCAAGTGAGAGAGAAATGCAGTGTTCAGTCTTTTTGTCTGTTGGTGAATACATTATGAGTGTTTTATTGTGTGCTTATATATTGTGTGCAATGTATGTTCTAGATGTATGTATGATTATTTTTTTTCTCCATTTAAAATGCTTGCAATGACAATGTAGGAGAGAGGGAGGAGAGGTAGAGGAGATAAATGAACCAAAGGAAGAGAAGCAAGGAGGGTAGTAGGGCAAGAACTGCCTCAGGTCCTGGCAGATGGTGTTTTATATCATATGTATGCAAAACACACAGACACTGTGTCACACATACACATGCACCCAGGTTTCAGTAGTTTATTTTCAGAAATTTCAGTGTATGTTTTTACTTCCTTTCAGTATTGTGGTGTTTTACTGTACTTTGTATTACATTTTTGTCTTCAGTAACCATCCTGGCAGAAAACAGCAATATTAAGGAACAACACATTTTGCCAGAACTACCAAAAATGGCTGTTATGCATTTAATGTTAAAATGTATTACATCATTTTTTAGTGTCTTTCGGCTCCGGCATTATTCCATGCTACAGCTTTGATTTTCCTTTTGGGTGCAAACACTCACAAAATCCAGTTTGATTATCTTTTCCACACACTACTTCTCATTTTATTCTATTTAAATGCATACAAATTGCACATATTGTACACACACAACCAGCCATTCTCTTGTATAAAAGTCTCTGTTAGATTATTGAATGAGATTTTAAAATGTAATTTTCAATCTACAATAATTTCATTGTTATTCTATTCTAATAAGCTGTTTAACTTTAAGAGGGATTCTCAATTCACCTCCATTCAGTTACTCTTTACATTAAGAGTTCCCATCATGTTTGGTTCACAGTGACAACATGACTTCCTATATTTCCTGAACATGAATACAGCTGATGTGGTTTGGATGTGCCATTACTCTGTGTGTATTTATGTTTTTCTTACATGGGGTGTTGCCGTGTACCGTCATGAGGCTGCTGTGTGTAATTAGGGGTATATAGGTCAGCTGATGAGCAGCGAGTGTGACGATCAGATGTTGAACATGATGAGCTGCTCACTGAACTTTCATTTCCCTACGACAGCGGCGCACACAAACACAACAAGCGCTCGCAATGCGGCCGTGTTCAACCTTGACCCCGTCCTCCTGGCTAATCAACACAGTGACCTCATCATCCTTACAGCCAATCAGAGGCGTCACTTATCCGCAGCGTAACCTCTAAAACACGACACGTCTGCAGAACAGTTCACAATCTAAGTGCACTCTCACGTGGATGCACAACAACTATGCAAACATGCACACATACACATATGGTGAATATCAATATGCAGTAGACACGTGGTTATATAAACAGTCCAATGAGAAACATTATTGATGCTGATAACCAACTCCACAGTTAACCATATTTTTGAGTTACTTTAACACCGATCAAACTCTTTCTCTTGGCCAGCAAAGGACTCTTTGGATAGGCCTAATGAAGATGTGAAAATTAAAATTGATTTTGTGACTGAGAGCTCTCTGCATGCGAGTGTGTGGGTGGTTGCCTGTCTGGCCCGTCACTATTTCTCTGCTTAAGAAACAGCGGGAGCAGTTGCAGTTGATTTAGAGTGAGTAAATCCATACATGTTATGGTCGCGTACACATGCACCTGTCGTTTTTTAATCAAAAGCTTTCACTCCATCATTTTCCATACATGCTTGTTCCTGTCCCTGGGCCTATCCCAGCATGCACTGTGCAGAAGGCAGGGAAACACGATCACAGAGCAAAGAGAGATAGACAAACAATCACATTCACGCAACTGACTTGCGTGTCTTTTATTTTGTTCAAATCCCCATTAGCTGTGTCTGTGGTAACACATACTCTGCCTGGGATGTTGCCTGGTATTGTGTGGATAAAGAGGGACATTGTCTGCTGAAATCCACTGCAAACAGCAAGTCAAAGCATTCAACCGCCACCAAACTTTTCTTTGAATTTCTAAAGCAATACTCCGGTGGGCTGTGATTGGCTGGTCGCATTGTTGCAACACAAAAAAATAGGATTGGTTCCACTTTCCAGCTGCGAGTGTCTGCACGAAGGGTTATTGCTGGAGATTTTGAAAAACACAAGTGTTGATTTCTTCTATGTTTTAATTGACTTCTATTAGAGGTATTGATGCAAGTCATCTACCTTCAGAGCCACAGACCTGATGCTAAATCTCACTGCAGTTCCTTCCTGTGTGTCTCCTCTCTGATTCCCCACCATCTGAATACAAAGTAACATTACAAAAGTGACTAGACCCCCCTCTGTCAATGAATCTACTTCATCTGTACTTACCTGTGCCTTTGCACTGAGTAATCACAATGCGCAGACCCTGGTCAGTAGTGCGATCACATACCGGTCTGAAGGTTGAGTTGATGACATAACACAACGCAGCCGTGCCCTCTGAACCCCAACAGGTTCCATTTTGTCAAACACACATGTTACCCATCTGGAGCCGTGCGAGAGCGTATGTGTTTATGTGTGTGTGTGTGTGTGTGTCCCCTCTCCTGCCCCACTTTCCTGTCCAGCCAGGACAGTGACGGGGTTTAAGAGGGGAGGGGTGTAGGCAGACTGACCTATTTCCCTCTCACTTCCCCGTCCCATGCCATCCCTGTAGTTAAGCGTTGTGTGTGTGTGTGTGGGTGTGCGTGTGTGTGACGCTCTGAGACAATGGAGGCCTGCTAGTCTGAGCAGTGATCTGAAGGAGGAGAGCTGGAACGGGGACAGAGAGATGGAGGGTTTATGGACGGGAATAAAAACAACAGTGGGACACAGAGAGGGTTCAGCTTGCAGATCGAGGACGTCGGTCTAACCGGCAGAAAGCTAATGAGTGGCTTCGATGAATAGAGACTGGACCAGCAGATGGCTGTGGCCACATGGTGGTCCACAGAAGATGCCCAACCATGCTCCATCTAATCCACCTGCCACTCAGTTTGGCCTTGTTTATGTGTTTGCACAGTAATTTGATACAGATGCCCGCAAAACCTAGAGCTGAAAAGCAATGACAGAGGGGAAAAAATTTCAATTTATGGATGAGATTAGATTAAAACAAAAGGTAAAACTCTTCTTGCACGTATCAACAGTTCACACACTCATCCTCAATACTTTGTGTACTTTTTTCTTCTTCCTTTGTACTTTTTTCTGCTTTTAAATTCAATTCTCATTTTCTCTCCAAACTCCCACTCCACCATGTTCTACTCCATCAAGGTTGAATTGTACAAGATATAGATGTGTTTTGCATGCATTGACGGACTTCATCAGTCTAGTTAAACCCCTGTTGTGTTGAAAGTAAAGTGGATTTAACCTGTGTTAAACCTGTCGGTGTGTAAATGCTGAGTTATCAGGCCTTTAATTTGAACTTGGATCCTAATGGGTGTCAACGGGTGGTGAGGTCACTTACAGGCTACATTACCGATCAATCCTCTGCCCCTGGGGCCCCTGCTGGAAGTCAAGCGGCTCAACAGAGACACACACACACACACACACACACACACGCACACGCACACACATATATACATATACACGCACACACATAGGGGTTAATTGGCAACACCTGGAAAAATACATGTCGAGTTTAACAATTAGTTGGATAAGAAAGTTAGAACTAAGCTAAACTGATTTGCAGTCACTCTAGTTTGACGATAATAAATTGCGTGGTGCTCCATCTTTTCACTTTTGCTTAGATGACTATATTTAGGGTTGCAACCAGCAATTATTTTCATTGTCGATTAATCTGCTGATTATGCCCGTCAAAATTTCCCACAGCGTAAAAGGGACGTCATCAAATTCTAGTTTTTAACCAACCGACACTCCCAAAACCCAGAGATATTCAGTTTACAGAGATGTTTACAGACTTATAAATTAAAATGTTGGTTTAAAATTGCAGCCATGAATAGTTCACAGCACATTATGGTTTGGTCAAAAGTAGTCTATTACATGGGTTATAAGGGGGTTTGGACCATATGAACCAAATGTTCATCAACTGCTGATTGGGCCTTTACATATACAATATATACAGCGTATGTGCCCGTTTGTATATAGAAATATGAATTATATTATATATTGAGGTGACCTTGATGCGTGCAAAATGGTTATATATATATATATATATATATATATATATATATATATAGCTTTTAATTAAAAAGTTAGTGTCATAAGGCTTTGCACAGGTGGAGCGAGGTGACAAAGGCAGAGGGACCTCATGGAGAGCAGTGGTGTGTTAGGACACGATGTCTGTTTGTAAATCTGTGCTTTTGCACTCAGAGCAGGAATACATTAATAGATACACTTGTCTGGGACACAGCCGACTCTTGTAAACACTGGTCTGACACACACACACACACA